GCTGAGTTTTCAACGATGCCACATTTGAACCTCTCTAAATCAGGATCCCCTATCCAACAGTTCCCGTTAGAAATAGGTCATTAGGGAGATGGAGAGTCACAAAGTCTATAGCTATGCAAGTATCTTTTCCTTTACCTACAGTTTTTTTATAGTCGGCACATTAAATTTAAAAAACTTCAGAAAAAAAACATACAGGAAATGTTGCCAGCAACGCGAAAGCAACTAACAGGACGTGAACATACATCTAAAAATTTTTCTTTACAAGGAAGAATCTCTTTGGACGATGCTATGCTTGAATATGCATGTGTTTGAGATCAGATCCAATGAACAGAGGTGGTGTATAGGCAAGTGACACGCCTAGCCCGGTGACCGAATATCAGATGTGTTGGGCAAACCAAGTCTTCCATCCCTCCGGCAAATTGGTACCAGACTCGTCTGGGACGATAAAAGTGCTGACTTGGACATCGGGCTGGCCATCGCAAGTGAATGTATATGTCACATACGCTATCAAAACGTTGCTACGATCCTACGTGAAAGCCGAATGCGAGGCGCACCCCATGGACGGGTTTGGGTAAGGCGGGTCGAAGTGAGGGCTCAAATAGACAAGGGCGAATTCTATGAGGATCCAAATGAAGAAAGAATGAAATGATGATGTAAATGAATGAGTGAGTTGCTGCTGATATCATGTTCCACTGGGCCTTTTATAGTAGATGGCTGAATTTTTATAATGCCATCAATACATAGTTCTTTGAAGGGGTCTGGCTATTTATCATTTGGCTTGGCTCTAATATCATATTTTTACTATTTGAACAGTGAAATGCACATCAATAGCGTCATATGATAACAAATACAGACATTGTTATCCTTGCTTTTGTTTTTTTTTATAAAAAACGTTTTGCGTTGAACATGGAAGTACGGTACCCGCCGCCGCTACTGTATGCAATCTTCCAGCATTATTACTACCTCAAATTCTGGGAATAGCGGATCTACCAAAAGGAAAGCCAGTTAACAAATTCCATTCAAGGCCTGCTGTTGTGTCTGTGCCGCGGCAACGTTCGTTGGACTGGAGGAGCACCTTCCCTATTTGACGACCCTAACTACTACGCTATTGAAGATACATATGTATATGTAAAATGGAAGGTCGATCGAAATTATTTGGTCGGCCGAAACCATCCAACGTCCTCGGGAACTACACGGAAGCGATGTTCTAACGTGGAAACTCGATCCCTCCAATAATGCCGTTGGTGGATCGTGACTCGAATTAGTCAGGATCCATCACTGGATTTTTGTTGCAGGACAATCTTCCTGTAGGAGTTTGTGTATTCAAATAGGCCATGAAAGCAAACACGTGTGTCACTACAAACATCAGGTTCACATTCTGAGTTTTTGTTCCTGTGGAGGAGTTCCGAAGTCCAAAGCGGGATTGAGCCACCAGCTCTACCAGGAAGGTTAAATTGCTCTGAGCTATCCAGCAATAAACGTTATATACATTGTCGAAGTACATTCGGTAATTACGTAATGGGTAAATTGCATCTGGGACATAGAAACTCCGTGAAGCTGTAAGGCCGGGAAATGAGCTGCTTATTTCAGAAACCAGTCGGATTGCCCGGCTATCGCCGGGCCTTCCTCCTGTAATTGGGGCAATGATTGGTTCAAACAAACTGGGATTTCGTTTCGAGATGAATATGAAATGATATGAATACATGAGTTCTGAAATCCTGTTCATAAATCACCATTTCATTCTAATAATGAGAAACACTTTGTATGACTCAGAATCTTTGTGAATAGAGTTCATACATTTCTTGCAAGGGTAAGTACTCGTTACATTGTTAACTGGGTTTTTTCAAAAAAAAAACTTTTATTTTAGTTATGGTTACTTTTCGCAGTGGCTGAAAAAGCTGATTTTGGAACAATGTCAAGTAATGATCCACTTGAAAGTGTCGGACTTAGTGAGATGGTCTCGTCAAAATTGCTTCACATCAGATAAATTTTCTTAGCTTACCTTGCCATTGAAAATAGCAAGTAGCATAGTGGCATCAGATCTATAATAATCATGTATTTCTTTGAAAGTTCCGGTTCACACGAAAAGTTATAGGTCAAGTAGTCCCACTCCCAGCCTGGTTTGCGAGAACCGCGCCTTCAAGGAATAATCTTCTGGGGGCATTCCAGAAAACGTATGTTCGAAGCACATACCGTTAAAATTCTGACTCAAATTCAGGTCAGACTTACCGATGTATCCCCCTCAAAAAAGTTTTCATTCTGCCGACAGCTTCATTTCCTCACGTCACCACAACACATAGAACAGCCAGAGCCAGGGATGCTTTTAGTTCTGCACAAATCTGATCTCCTCTGCCGAAATATGTGTTGATGTTCGTAAGAAATGCTCATGTAACGCGTACCTCTTGAAAAATTTCGGATCAACTGAAAAACTAGTAATCCTTCCAACAACTCTACCCGATAGAAGAATCTCAAAGTTCCTCTGTGGTAGTTGAAGTGAATTCCAAAGTCACCAAATTCTATGTTTTTAACTTGATGTTTTGTCTTATGTCTAATGTCCCCGGAAAGGACAAGTACGGGTTCGAGTCCCGTCCGAGACTGAAGTTTTGCCCACAAATCGCCAACCTTGTGGGTTTTTAGTTATTATCAATGAATCCCTAGAAGCGATGAGTAGGGCCGTATTATCTTCAACTGGTAAGCCTCTTAGTGTATGAATACTCAGAAAGGCTAGGCCGAAGGGAATAGGTAAAAACATCATGAACTCCTAAAGGAGAAGTATAGAGTAATTCCAAGATAACGAACTTCCAAGACTTTTTTTCATATCGCACACCGATTAAAATTGCTGTAGGATTTATGAGAAACATACTCAATATTCACGATGTTTATGGACCCTATTATCGGACCCTGGACAAGCTTTATGTTTCGTTTCTAATCAATTAAAATGGCAGGTGGTATAGTGCAGGTAACATATATTACATACTCATGATCCAGGTTCAAATTCTGGATGGATATCTGCTTGGGCCAACGGAGCCCTCCGTCCCGCCGGGGTTGTTTAACTGACATCAGACCCGTATGAGGAATAGAAGTACTGACTAGTACATCGGCTCGCTACTACAAGTCGTTGTATAGGCCAAATACGCATTCATTACGCCACCACGATTCTGGATAGTAGTCGGATGCAGGGCACATCCCAGAATAGGGATTGATGCGTATCGAAAACTTTAGCTTCCGTCTAACCATTGAAACCGTAAGCCAGCTGCTGCCATAATCAACACTCGTTATTAATCTGACTAAGCAAAATTACTAGTCGCCTCTGATGTAGCTCTTACTATTTTAACTGTTCTAACTGAATCCGTCAATCTGTTTGCTTCAGTATGCAAGATTCTGTTATTACTTATTTTTTAATCTAATTTTCATCATAGTTCTCGTATGTATATTGCAACACACACATAAAACAATTTTGAGCAAATTTTATTGCAGTCATTGATGCAATTTGAAAATCACTCTGTCGTCACGGAGCTTCTCTGGAATAAGAGAATGCGCCGTAAACATCTCCTTGCCACCGTAGTTAGAACCATCCACCAGGTCCTCCATAAGGATATCCTTGACCTGCTCCGTACGGGTACATTCCTCCGTAAGGCCCCCCATTCCAACTTCCTCCCGGTCCTCCTGAGTAAGGCCCTCCGTACGGATTTCCTCGTGGCCCACCTGGTCCACNCCTCCAGGGAAGGGTCCTCCTGGTCCTCCAGGGAAGGGTCCTCCTGGTCCTCCAGGAAATGATCCTCCTGGTCCTCCGGGGAATGATCCTCCTGGTCCTCCAGTGAACGAACCTCCAGGTCCTCCTCGTCCTCTTCGTCCTTTTCCGCCAGGAGCCGCGTCTAGACTCTGAAAAAAAGGAATCTTTCTATAACATTTTCATGCAAACTTTTTGCTAACATGTATAGCTTTTCGTAGGCATGGCAAGTTCTGATTTACGGCTCAAAACAACGCAGCAAGGGTGTAAGTACTTTTGACTTGTACGCTATAAGTAAGCTGCTTCCCTATTCCCAAATGGAACTGGTACAATTTTCCTAAACCAAGTAAGCATAAATGGGAAAAGTTGATTGGCATCTTACCATCTGTGAGCATCGGGAAATAGTACCTGAGGTATGAGCTGGCTTCACTGCCTCAGGTCCTCGGCAAGACCGTACAAGAAGGTCGTTCTAGTTGATAAATATATTTTCAAAATCTATCATTAACTAGAGAGAAGTTAAAAAAGCTGAGTTTTCAACGATGCCACATTTGAACCTCTCTAAATCAGGATCCCCTATCCAACAGTTCCCGTTAGAAATAGGTCATTAGAAGCTCTAAAAATGATCGTCAGTGGGGGAGATAGAGAGAAGCAAAGTCTAAAGCTCGGTAAGAACTTTTCTCTAACACAGTTTTTTTACAGTTGCACAAAAAAATACGAAAAAAAAAACATACAGAGAATGTTGCCAACAACGTCACAGCAGCTAATAAGACGTGAACATACATCTGAAAAATTTCCAGTATAAGGGAGAACCATCTTGGACATTGCCCTGCTGATCAGATCGAAAGAACGGAGGTGGTTGAGGCAAGTGGCGTACTACCACTTACGCCTAGCCCTGAGACCGAATCCCAGATGGATTGGGAAAATCATGCCTTCCACCCAACTGAATAGGTAGCAGACTAATCTGGGAGAATACCAGCACCGATTTGGACATTGGTCAGCATCACAAGTAGATGTATAGGTCACATAGGCATTCAAAAACGCCGCCGCAATAGTAAATTAATGTCGAATGCGGGGCGCATCCCACAACCGAGATTGCTCAGCGCTAAAAGGGTCTTCCCTTCATACGACTATGGTCGAAGTGGGAGCACAAATATGATACGAAGAGGAAGATCTGTCAAGGTCTAAATGAAGAAAGAATGAAATGATGGTGAAAATTAGTGGGCTACTGTTAATGCTATGAAACACCAGGCCTTTTATAGTGAATGGGTGGATTTTTACTAGGCCATCAATACGTAGTTCTTCTACAGTCATGACAGAGTCTGTCTATTTATTTGACTTAGCTCTAACATCATGATCTTACTATTTGAACAATGAGAACCGCATCGATAGCGTCACAGATAGCAAATACAGGCATTGTTATTCTTACTTCTATTTTCTCTCGAAAAAAAAAGAACATTAAGTGTTGTACATGGAAGTAAAATACACGCCTGGTTACTGTATGTAAGCTTCCAGCATTGCTACTACTCCAACTTATAGAAATAACGGATCGACCAAGAGAAAAACAAGTCACCAATTTCCATTCTAAGCCAAATGTTTTCCCTGGGCGGCAGCCGCCGGCCTGTTCACGTAAGAAAGGTCCCAGTGTGATTTTAAAAAATGTTCCTTAATAAGGACACTTCGCGTCTTTTTCTCCTTGCTCCACTTTTCTTCTAGTCAGTAGTAGATATGAGCTCCATCTACCTTTTGGAAGGGAAGAAGGTTGTAAAGCAGAGAAGCGGAGACCTTCCCTCATAGGTCCTCTTGTACATTTCGAGTTGAGTGAGGATGACTGTACAAGAACTTGGCAGCTTGAATCAGGTTCTGAAGCTTACGCAAAAAACAGCCACTTTGAAACTTGAGGATGGTGTCTGCAAAGGGCTGACGAATTACCCGTCGGGGGTGCGTAACAATGAAAGTACTGCTCCCCATTGGACTATCTAAACAACGTTATTGTAGATAATGTAGATGTAATGTAGATATTATCATTGTAGATGGTTGATGTAGATAAGTATAGATATGATGAAAGGCTGATTGAGTTTATTCAGCCGGGTAACATTTTCCAACGTTGCCGCCCAACTACACGGATGATTAGCTTGCGAACTCGATCCTTACAGTAATTCAGTGGCGTATCCTACCAAAACGAGTATCCTTGATGCAGAACAACCTTCCCATGGAGTATGTGCATTCAGGTAGGTCGTAAAAGCAATTATGTGAGTCACTGTAAGAACCGGGTTCACATTCTGAATTCTCCTTCCTGTGCCGAGATACCGAAGTCCAAAGCAGTATCGAGCCATCAACTCCTAGAGTTGAGTTGCAGTGAGCTATCCAACAATAAACGTTACATACATTGTCTAGGATCAAAGGTAATCTGAGGCATAGAAGCTCCATAAAACTGTTAGCCAACAATTAGCATCTACCGAAATGGGCTGTTTTCCTCATAGAGCTCTTATTTTTCATGGGGTATGTACCACTACCATCAGCTTAAGCACTTTGGCATGTACCCATTCTTAATTCGAGGTAAGTTCAGGTGGTAAATTACAGATTCCGAAAGACCACAGATCTACGACCCATTTTGTCTTGAACTACCGATTTCTTCTAAAGCTCTGGAAAGTGAAACTGGAACTCAAAATTGAACCAGCTTCTGTAGATCAGACAGGAAGGACAAAGACATTCAAAGGGTATAGAAAACAACTTGAACAGATTTAGAAAAAATTGGCAGTTTATTTGTACCATCTGCATCTGAGAAAAACACGAAAAAGAATTTTTACTGGGTAGTGCTGTGAATTCAGCAGGGAATGTCTGAAAGAAGCCCTGCTCTTCAACAACCTGAAGTCTTCAAGAGCAACAGAAATTGCTACACCAGTGATTGGATTACATAGAGATAATATCCCTTCTGGACTGGGATTGTGCTTTCTACTGCATAATTATGAGAGGTTTCAAAGAAAATCGTTGGATTACAATGATACTTGCGACGTCTCAAGTCATCAGAAGGAACACTCACGCCGACAGTAATAGGGCCCTCCTAATATTATAGCTTGCTCCCCATCCGTTGACATTTCTTATCATCACTTATCAATTATTGCTACACTCCACTACGCGACTGTTGATTTATTGGTAGACCCGATCAGTGACATTCACCGTTAATAAGAACAGACTGTTTATTTTCAAGCAAGGATAATCCTCACAATGAAGTAGCACACAAAAGATGTGTTGAGGAAATTGAGGAAAGAATTTGATAGCCTCCTAACTTTCATATCGAATTTAGTAATAGCGACGTAGTAATCCTTTTTCGACCTGAATTATAGGTGAGTATCTGCAAGGTACGTGACATAGTGCAGTACCAAACTCATATATAAAATCAAAAATTGTAGTCGTATTCTATTAACAAACTATACAGGAAACAAAAAATAAACAACAAAAACTAATTTTTGTACGAGAATGAAATAACAAGCATTTACGAAATCACTAATTCATCTACTTTACGGCTACAACAATCTACTCCAGGCGGTTGAATACTCTCGGACCTCCTCTCTTATACCGCCTCATTTCTTTCGTGACAACCTTGTCAAGAGCTTCCATATCTTTTCTGCAACCATTGCAGATATAGTAAGATAGTCAAAGTGATAAAATCGAAAATTATGGATTATTATGAATTTCCTTTTCCATGAACAATCTTCAATTAGCCTACCTATCTCTCTCCTTCATGAATTCTTTTTCGGCCCATAGCTTCTGCATCATATAGGCGTCATCGTCCAGATAGGGTACTTCGTACTCTTTTGTTTCTTCTGTAGGCGGCTCGAGATGCTCCTCTGCTTGCTTTCTGAATCGAATACCGACACAAATGTGGGAGTAGGCAGATATGACAAAGATATCACAAAAAATACACACTTGTAAGTGAAACCCATGAAAGACGTAATGGTTCGCATTGGGGGACTTGCGCCATCGCCTGTTTCCAATCGGTAATATGCATCGTTTCGTTCATGAACAACGGTTTCAATATTACGCATCGTCTGAAAAGGAAAATTAGGGATTGCTGCGGGCGTTAAACCATAGAATGAAGCTGATGTTTGAAAAGTGCGTGTTGCACTGCATGAGTAATCATGGATATAATCGACCGATGATTAGTACCAGATTATGGAACCGAATCGGAACATATCAGGGCGAGTACACAACAGAACACTGTTGTACTTTCCTCGAGAACAAAATCGGAGCTTGGAACCCCCTCTTCCTGCCTGAACACCCACTTCGGTTTTCATATGAATGACTAATAGGATGCTATATAATGTGTGTTCATGATGATGTATTCATAAATCTCTTTATGAACACATAAACACCATCGAATCTATCGAGGCAGGGAGACAGAGGACCGGAAACATAGAATCTTATTCTAGCAATAAGGCAGACGATTGGTGCTCCCACCCTCTTTCCCGCTAAAGATCGGCATCANTCAAACCTGGTTTTTGCTTTCGTACCACTACCAACTGAGAAAGTAGAAAACGAGGCTGTTAAGAGAAGCCATTAAGAGGCAACTAAATACAGTGCGAAAGAATCTCGCCATAACTGCATTGTCACAAAACTTGTGACCGAAAAAAGGGAAGAAACGCGCTCATAGGGTGGGCTGAGAGAACAGAGTGAAGAGCAAGTGATCTTCTGCGTTAATAAGTGGGAACGTACAGAAGTTAAGCTGATACGAATAATTCTCAATAAACTTATTTATTCTCTGTTCTTCAACTACCGGCGAAGTAAATAGTGAACCTGGGGATGACAGTAGCTAATGGGTTCACTGGCTGAAGTAAGATTGAAAAATCTTTCCAGTGAGGAAAAAATTAATTTTCAAAGTAATGATAAGACAACAGTTGAAAATTTACAGTAAAATCACTGAAGCAAAGCACACGAATAAGCGCTGTCCAGGATTGGAAGGTGAAGAACGAATTCGTTTACCTCATTTACTCGGTCAATGCGTTCTGGATTCGGCATAGAACGAGCATGTGAAACGTAGGCCGCTTGCATAGTGAGTAACATATTGCGCTCCTTTAGACATACGTACCTACAATACCTTACGATAATGCTGAGCATTCACTGCAGATTCTGTTAAATAAATTGCAATGACGAAGGCAGGCGAAGGGACTCCTACTCAGTACGAATTGATTCGCTACCCGTATGAAGCATAGTCCAAAACATTTCCGAAACCAGATTGTAAAAATTCAAGGGGTTCATTTCCGCTCTTTTACATTCAGGTGATCATTCTTTTCATAGTAAACCACACAAAGCTTGGACTGCTATGAAAAGCGTCTAACAAGCAGTAAGAAGAATTGTGTACGAGAGATATTTCTAGACACGCCTACACTATTGCACTGTTTAGGAGTTTTTTCCGCATGATTGCATGATTACATCACAGTGCTGAAGGCATGAGTTGTAATACCTGACAAATCAGATAGGAATAAAAGCATCCACACCAACCATCATATAAAAAACCCACCACAATTTATGCAGGTCTGAATTGCTCTTCAACCGAAGTTCGTCCTCTGTCCATGATCGACCAGGCCTCTTTTTTGGTCGTAGTTCAGATTTGCCAAAGTTGGCTTCGTCATCATAAAACTCCCGAAACAAATCTTTGCCGGTAGCGGCAGAGCGAAACAACTGAAGTGTGGGGCTCCTGCTGAAAGAAACCGAGTCGGTATGAGGTTAAAATCAAATAGTAACAATATAGAAGTTCAGAACATACCTTGCAAGGGCTATTGCTTTGGATAACGAGGACAAAAGCATGTTCAGCGCCCAAGCTAAATATCCATATTTGCTATTTGCTTGGAGAAATAGGAATAGACGACAATTAGCGAAACATTGTTCTAATTGAAACGATTAGAAACAAACACTTCCTAGCACCAGGAATCAAAAAACCAAAAAACATTCAATCAATGACGAGCTAAAACACTTGTAAAGGAATCACACTCAACAATGGGTGTTCATCGCCGTCCTGGCAGTTACGGTGCATCCACTTGTTGTGCGCATGAACGCAACTTAATTAACTTGACGGCGATTGTTCCTTTTGGTTGGCTTTTATTACTTATTTGTTTTGTCTAAGGTACTGGAATCCATCAAACTCTTTTTTTTTTTGTTACTGTGTCCAATTGCTTTATGTGGATTCAATTAAGGCCGAGTATTTGCTTTTGAATGCTTCGTTGTTTTGCCTCACAGATACTGTATCCTTTATTTAAAGTAACCATCAATAATTACAATGAAGACGTTTTCAGGGTATATTGCTCCGGAAGGAGTGCACACAGTCCAAACTGGTAGGTTAGTCATTTTTGAGAAGTATCTAATGTGGACAAGTACAAATATATTGCAGTCGGCCATATTCAATTTTCAAAGCCTTATTTCTGTTCTATTGCTCCTTATTTGCACTTGCGCCTACATCAGATCGTTTGCTCCGAAACTTATCGACAGGAATAAGGAGGGGTGAGTATGATTATTACAATGTTTTGAATGGAATATTTCCAGTAGCCTGTCCAAGAATGGCTGGATTTTATTCATTTTGCAAGCTTTAGTAGAACCTAGGTACTAATCGATTATCATGACCTCAGCAGATAGGAGAGTGGTCTTCGCTGGAATCGTATATAAGGTTTCTGCAAACGTATTGATCACGGTTATTCGTTGTCCAGATCAGAAATATCATACTCATTTCTGTTTACAACCTCATCAATCTCTGATGTGTCTTTATACGTAATTTTTCCCACGTAATTCATGAGAAAAGGATTGCGCTATCTTAACGTCAANAACGTCAAAAATATGGGCTGCAGAGTTTAACGCCGTGGCGTTGGGACCGCCGACGAACACGAACAGGTTTCAGCAAGAATGTTCTCCCATCTGCTGAGTTGTACCATCTAATTAGCTTTGAATTCCCCTTCACGAATGTTTTTCAGACTACTTGGAGTTTTCTGGAAGTTAGCTCGTATTGGCGAGCGATTGAGTCCGTGGGTGGCCGCCAGTTGTTTTTGTATGGCCTTTGTTGTCCTGTTCCTTTGAATTCATCATCAGCGCTGATGGGCTCAGTGAAGTCGGGGCGAGTTGACGAAACTGGCTACCAAATTAAGAAACGACAGCCATGGAGACCCACTGGGACTCTTGATGGCCGCAATCACTTCTATGTTACCAAGTGAGTTTTTGATACTCGATTCAACCAGATGCTTTAATTTGTTTATTGAGAAAGCAGTTTGAGCTGCCCTTGTTTTCTGTCTCTTGTAGTCTGTCATATATTCTGAGTAATTTTTAAAATACTTTCTTCTCGAAAAGAAGAGTTCCTTTCACATTTCGCTACTACCTGCATACACTTTTGAAGTTGCATACCAAGCTACATATTCTTCGCTTTGAAGCTATGAATGTTATTCCCTCACAACCACCTCGTTTCTTTTCTCATTAATAGGCAAATGGATTAATTTCATCTAAACAACTTTCTATCAGGTGGTGCACAGTGAATTGTTGCATTCTTTATGAAAAGGCAGTAGGTTTTAGAATGGTAANTTTGATTGCAAAGGTTGTCAGTAATAAGTTCCTGTGATCGGCTAAATCAGTAATACCAGCTATGGCTTCTCTGGTCCTATCCAAGGAACAATTTGCGTCTCTTAAATTTTACAGTGCTCTATTGCTCTTTTGTACAGAACGCCATCGATCGCCTTGCATGGTTGCTTAGCAGCGGCGAAGTCGAAACGTATTAATCATGGCCTTTAGCTAAGCTACATCTCTCAAATGAAGCCTCCGAAGCCTCATAACATTGTGCAAAGTTTTAGTATTAATAAAAAATTGATAGTATTCGAAGTTTATACTTGCAATTAACACTTTTCTTCTATCAGTTCTTGATTAAGTTGGTAGAGGATATCACGCTGGCGTGGGACCCCTAAGATGAGTTACGTTATTTGTGAATTCAGAGAACGGATGAAGATAGCGGGTGAAATCAGTGCTAGTAGTTCTCACGAATAACCTATCCGATCTTATTCATGAAAGCTTTTTGTATATTTTCAGTGGTGTCAAACACTTTTACCAGCTACTTCATACATCTATCATTTTTTTACTCACTTGCTTACAGAAAAACCTCAATTTCCTCCACGATGAAGCGCGTTGAGGAAATCTTGCACAATAAAGAGAATGAGGTAATATTCCTTTAATCTATAATTTCTGATTGGGATTTCGCTTTACTGTTTCCATTTTGATTAATTGGCTTTTTCCTCACATAATAACGCACAATAACGCACGGCGCAACCAATTTCGTAACCTAAGATAGGTTTTGAGCTGCCATTACGGAATATTTTTTGGAACATCTTTTAATGGCCCTTCATTTTTTGAAATTCGATGGTGAAGAATCACCAAGCCTTCTCAATTTCTTGATACGATTCTTCTAGATTTATATTCATGGATTGGGTTCATCTCTAAATCGGGCAATGGTACTTGCACTTGAAGTCCAGAAAAATTTTACTGACTCTATATCTCTCAACATAACGACCTCTACAGTCAACGTAAGTCGCTTCTCAGAGTAAAAACTTTTTAATGACTTGTTTTGTTATAAAAGTTTTTTGAAGGTTACTGACGACCTATTTCCATTGAGTGACGAGTTCGAGATGGGTATACGTAACAGACCTCTATCCGCTATACAAATCCACATTTGCCGTGTGAATGTTTGAATGCTTTCAAGTTTATATTATATTAGCTTATATGTGCTTGTTATTCCTCTTATTGTTATATTCGGATGGGTGTTTTTGGTGATAAATGCTTCTATTTTGTTGTTGAAATGATGCAAAGAAGTGAAAGAGCGCTCATACTTCTACCAGTTCATTATAATTCGTTATCTAAGCTGTAATCTATGGCGTATTATTCCTCTTGAGTAATGGAATAATGTACCTATCACCCTGGCGAACCCTACTTGTAAGTACTACTCGAGAGCCACGCAGTGTTCGATGGTATGGAACTGGCAAGAAGGTAGCTAGGATAGCGATAGTTGGAAGTGGCCCTGCAGGTTTGTGCACGTCTTTTGAGATTCTTCATTTTTCCTTAGAGAACAAACTTTTTAGGTTTATTTTCTTGTGGGTCATTGTTACGACGTTTGCCAGACAGCAAGTTCGACGTGTTCGATGCAGCTCCCGTTCCGTATGGCCTTGTTCGGTATGGTGTTGCACCAGATCATCAAGAGGTTGTTCATTCCAATTAAAGTCTTCGTCAAGCTGCTGCTTGAGCATTTTGGCTTTCAGGTGAAAAACTGTACGAACATTTTTGATCGGATGTTCGAGACCAATCGCGATCGTCTGTCGTTGTTCTGTAACGTGAGGTACGCGTGTATCTTGCTTTTTTCGTGCGCTTTGTCCCTCTGAAGGGTTCGTTGCAGGATAGGGTCCGACGTTGCTGTGGAGGACTTGACAAAGAATTATGATGCCATCTTGCTTGCGTACGGGGCTCATCGACCGCGTCCTCTAGATATACCTGGATCAAGTTCGACAAACGTAATATCGGGATCAGACTTTGTCTCCTGGTATAACGGAGTTCCTAATGCTAAGGTGTTGGCAGTCAGTTTGTTTCTTCCTTGTTTTCTATAGTTCTGTTTCAATTTTAGGAATAAACAATGGAATCACCATGTCGTTCACTTATAAAACTCCTCGTACTTTTTTGAATCAGTTGTCGAACTTTTCAAATTATGACATTTTTAGGTATCCTAGAAAATTTCTATGTGCTGGGAATGGACTTTCGACTTTGCTTTTTTCAGGCCCCCCTTTTGGATGACCCTAATGTCGTAATAGTTGGAAACGGCAATGTCGCCCTTGATTGCGCAAGGATACTATCTACTGCGAAACTGCTCGGAAATACCGATATCCCGTCAGACGTTCTTGCTGTACTCGAGAGTTCTAAAGTGACAAATATTAAAATTGTTGGACGAAGAGGCCCTGAGAATGTGAGGTTCTTCATTCGAACCGGCGTACTGTGTGAATCTCTTCATCCCTTTTCTACTAGTAGGCTCTTTTACAGGTTTCTTTTACCATCAAAGAACTGCGTGAGCAATTCAAGGTTCCTGAATGGGACACCACTGTAGAAATGGATGAAGAGCAGGTTAAACAATTGGAAGAGACTCTACCAAAAATGGCTAGGCCAAAGAAAAGGCTGATGAAGGTGAGCTCTGTTTTCTGTAGAGAGGAACTTTTCTTTTCGCATTTTAATCTAAGCAGGGCTAAGTGATTAGACATATGCACTCATAAAAGCAGCTTTTTATCCAGGTTTTACTTGATGGAGTGAGGTCTCCAAAAGGAGAGAGGCAATGCCGATTTCTGAGTTTTAGAATACCAGAAGCAGTTCTACCTAATAGTGATGGCCGTATTTCTGCTGTAAGGTCGGTGTTTGTTTGTTGCGACTTCGCATAATTGACTTGAAATTCTCTTCCCTTTCAGATTTTTGAACAAGCGCACGGGCTGTAACGAAGAAATGCCATGTGGTTTGCTTATATACAGTATAGGGTTCCAGACAGTGGTGCTAGATGGGCTGCCGAAAAACGATAAGGTATTTTTCCATTGCTTTCGAATCCGAATTTGGGTGCAGTTTGGTTTGGTGCAAATTTGAGTAGTTTCGCTTAAAATGAACCGTAAACGTTTTCAGGGCATGATAGCAATGAGAGACGGGAGCCGCGTGGATATGCCTGGCGATGCATTCGTTTATGCGGCTGGATGGTGCGCCCATGGACCGCGAGGTGTGATTGTTGATACACAACAGGAAGCTGTGGCTGTGGCTAGCCGTATAGCCGAGGATATCACGGCCAGAGAGGACATTGGTATATCTACTAATGTTTCTAAAAGCCACTATATATGAGTATTGAAAGTATTTCAATCATTCGAGCAGAAAACTTTTCCATACTTTTTACTGGAACACTTCTTGTTTGAGAAAACTGAATTTCTAGTTTTTCGCTAACAGAAAAATGTTCGCTCGACTTCGTGAATTCGATATGTTGTCCGCCAATTTCAACATGTTTTAAATTTGGGCATTCAAGGTGGCCGCCTTGGTATTCAATCTATTCTGGATGAGAAAGGCATCGACTATCTGACGTTCGATGAATGGAAGAAAATAGACGAAGCAGAAGTGAAACAGGGAGCTGAGAAGGGAAAAGTACGCGAAAAAATGAGGACGTTCAGTGGATTCCTTCGTAGGCATTAACTTGAAGAAAACGTGTAGGAACTATTTCAGCTAGCTACGATAGCTCTTATAGACCATTTTAAGATTCGCCATTTTTTACTTTTGCTCAAATTTACTTCACTCAGTGATTTATTTTTTACAACTTTGTGTACTGGGTACTGTGATGAGTATGCTTGTTTCAAGTTAGAAGTTACGAGTGTTGTCCATTGTCTAGCATTTATCTTGCCTTTTTTTAACGTCACCTTTGATTGTATGTAAATAAATAAATAGTAAATGTTGAAAATAGGGCATATTTGTTTGTTTTGTAACCATGCGTTGAGCACATTATATCTACTTGTGAACTTTCAGTGAAAACTAGATGATGCTTTTTGCATCCTTCGATTTTAGACTTATTTTGATTATTCTGTCTAGCCCCAACTGAAGCCTGAATATGGCGTCTCTAGAGTCAAAGCTATTGGACGGCAAAAGCGCAGGCTACTGTAGCAGTTCAGATGGAGAGGAAGAGGGATGGTCAGTGGCTAAAGATGACGACGAGCATCAGGTCAGTTCCCTTCCAATTCGTTATCCAGTGTTTCTGAAGACATAGCTGAGCCACAGCAATTTTGCTCAGGCGGGATTANAGGGGTAGTAGTTTTAATGGCAGAGCTTGAATCGTTAGTGACAAGGGAAACAATCTTTTCAGGCTAATGTTATGCGCAGATTGGGTCCGAGCACTAACACTGGCGCAAAAGGAGTACTAAACGAGTATGCTGCTTATAAAGAGCAAGCCACAAGAGCACGTGAAGCTAAGGACAGAGAACTGCTCAGGCAGGCCCGCAAAGGCATGCTTCAAGGATCTAAATTGGAACGCGAGGAGGTGAGTTATTATTTTTGGAAGCGGAACTTTGCCAAACTCTGTTTTTCGGATTTCATGTGAGTTGTGGGAACGTTTTTATCACTAATCGTTTTGAGGCTCAAAAAAGTGATCGAGATGAAGACGAGAGCTTGGAGAGTATCCGTGAACGTCGTCTCCTGGAAATGCGAAAAGCAGCTGCGGGAAGGATGTTGGAGATTACTAACAAGGTTTGTGATGTATTTCAGAAATACTCATCTTTTAACGTTGTTTTTTCAGGAGCAGTTCACAAAAGCTATTGATACATGCGAAAGTCTGCTGTGCGTTTTGTTATACGAGCCAGGTGATGAAATGTGCGATAAGATGACTCACGTGTGTAAGGTCAGTTTTTCAAATCGGGCATCTGGGTCTTGGGTGTGTGCTGTAGTTTCCGGGTAGAAAAAAAANAAAAAAAACCTACTGAAACCTCAATTTCAGGTTCTGGCGGCTGATTATCCTCGTGTCAGATTCATGCGAGCCAGAAGCACATTGCTTGAGATGAGCAAAGCCTTTGTGAGTTTTAGAGAAATTCCACGTTTGGGAAGGTTTTAGTCTTCTATGAATGTGCTCTTTACAGACAGAGCAGGCGTTACCCACGTTACAAATCTATCTGAATGGTAATCTAGTGGGCAATTTCATAAAAGTACCCTCTCTGTTGGGAGGAGAAGTTGATGTTACATCTGTAAGAAAATTCCTGAGAAGGTAAACAGGCTTTCATCTATTCTTGTTCTCTAAATACTTCCCTAATGAATGTTTGTTTACAGTCACGTAAATTAGAATTTATTCATTTTAGGCAGCATATCGATTTGGTCTATGGTAACTATACGACTGATTCCGAATGCTCGACTGACGAAGAAATCGATTGATTTCGTCACCTTACTTATATGCAATTAAGCTGCTATTTTTTGTAAACTACCTCATTTTTACCATGCGGTTTGAACGCACCGTCAATCTCATATCTGCGGGCTTTCTTCGTAAAATTTTCAATCAATTGGTTACTTTTCCAAGGTTTGGATGTGATGTTATTACTTTAGTCATTTTGCATTGTGGTGTTTTAGCAGACGTCTCATTCACGAGACAGTTTCTCTAGTCACGTCATGTTTTTTTTGAATAAAATGATTTTTCAATATTATGCAACAACTGTAAGCAATCATGTTTGTTGTGTGCCGATCATAATATCTATCATCGTGCTTGAAAGAAAAAATCTTCCTTAGGGTGTTGAATTTCATTCCCATTCCGTATAGTCCTGACCGCACTCCAAAACCAAACAAATCCAAAAAAGGTTTCCAGGAATTCCCTTTTCGTCCATTCTGTGTCCACGAAATTTTTTTNTTTTTTTCGAGATTTTTTTATGCCTCGGTGTTTGGATCCTCTTAGCGATAAAGGCAATTGTTATCGCTAACGAAAATCGTCACTTCAATTTTCGTTGCTGTCGTTTCCTCTTTACGCACGGAATTTACTTTATAAGAATATTCCTCTCTCTTTCCCCAAATTCTGCAAAAAGTTAAAGTACATTTCAGATTGGAGAGCAGGAGGGAGGGCACTTCCGTGTTTCTCCGATTTGTAACTTTTCATGGGGATGTTCGTGGTCAAATATTGCATCTAGAGTATTGGATAGGGGTAGAAACAATTGGAGAAATTTTTGATCGAACTCGGTTCGCTTTTCTTTTTGGAAACAGTGGTTTCCAGATGTTGTACTGAGTGATGGGTGTTCGAATGTTCTTTAGTTTAAGAAATTGTGATCATCTGACTTCAGTCTTTGAGATCCAAATGGCGACTGAAAACGATGATGCTCAACAAGCTATACCTATGGGCATATTACTTGCTACGAAGGGAACAGCTGGGGATCGTCTTCTATTCCTATACCCTCCTACGCCATCAAATACAAGTGGTAAGCCGATCAACAGTGTCGTATTGCTAAAAAGGGAGGTTATTCGGTGTCTCAACAAAAAGTCTTTTCTGAGCCGATCAGGCTAACCTCCAGTTCGGGAACTAAGAACTTGACTGTGTCCAGTACGCTAATTTCACTCCTCTCAGTAAATCTATGCCGTACTGCTGGATCAGGGGGGACGGAACATTCACCCAGAACTGGGTGGACGGGACAAATGGCGCGGCGAGATTCGTGGCGTTTAGGGAAACATTAGCACCTATCATTGGGGCGCAAACTTGAANTAGAGTACATTAGTATGGTCAGATGATCGGTTTTGGGTGAATGTACCCATACCCCTGGATCAGTATAAGCAGGTATTTTGTGTCTGCCAGAAGAGCTATGCATCACTTGTGCTCATCCAGAGTCAGGTGTATGGGTTTCATCCTATTTAGGCAGTCCATCATTCATTTGTTTTGTTTGTTTCATTCATCATTCATTCGCTTGTTTTGAGCAAACAGATACTATAATCATTTTCGATATTGTGCATACATCATTACTCTTTCTGAATTCAGCCAAATCAACAGAAGCTTCGTCAAGCACGTTGGTGGATTCCATTCTGAAGACTGATCGTGATTCCAGATTTAAGTCTTACGGTGTGTTTAATAACCTGAAATTTTTATCCCAATGACCTTCTACAAGTAAGGGTGCTGTTTTCAGCTCCTTCAACGTCTTCTCAGGCTCCAGTGCTCATGACCATGCAGTTGGTTTTTTTTTCAGACATTCATAGATAGTCCAGAACTTCCACCCTAATTTCGCACCTAGAGCTACTCAGATCCTTCATGAAATTTGTGCAGCTGAAACAACACTCCCCTTACCGTTCTTGGATTTCCTATTAGCTTGAAACATAGAGCTATAGAAAGACTGAGAACGGTAAGGGTAATATTTTTCCAGCTCCATTTAAGAAGGGAACTGTAACAATACCCTTGCTAAAAAGCTTTTTCCAGAAACATGAAGAAATCTGGAGAAATGTCGTTCCCCACGCAGTTTATGTAAGTTCGATAAAGCTAAGCAGTCCTCGTTTTACTTCTTTTTCCTCCCAAAACTGATTCAGACTCTCAACGTGCATGCTCGCGAATATTCTGAGCGTGAAAGACTCTGCTGTAGATGCACCATTTGAATTAAAGGTTGACAATGTGCGATTTGCTGGACATCCGAAGAAGGTCAGTAAAAACTGCTTGACTCTTGGTTCAACCATATTTTTATGGTCAATTCCCAAAGTTCATAGTTTCTAAGAAATCTTGCTGTCTCTGGGATGGGTAATGAAGGGTTTGTGCATAGGCCTTAGGACATATGCTGTTTTTGAGATCTTTTCTCCATCTTGTATCGTCTTTGTATCATTTTCATTTCTTTACAATGAGTTTGGAAATTTCAAAGAAGTTCTCGTTTTTAGCTAACTACTGCATCAGAAGGTTCATCCACAATATTTTCCATAGTTTTTGTGCTTCCAGCAAGTGTCGATTCACATCTCGTCGAATCCTTCCAGGTATTTTTTAGTTCACTTCGCTCGGTTTCTGATTCCATGTGCTTGTTTTTGATACGCAATTCTGCTCTGGAAAAGCACAGTCGTTTCAGTTTCTCAGTAAGAAGCTAGCCTTGGCGATTGACTCACTACAAACTCAACGAGGATATTTCGCAGAACAAGTTAGTAACAGATTATACTTTGTATCATCTGTCGGAAATAGATCTTAATTGTTGTAAGAGCGCAGTCTTAAAGCACGGATAGCACGGAAAATATTGCAATGCCCAGCGATTTCGCACCTTTTTTTGATTGGTGTTAGAAATCGAATGCGCATGGGGATTTGATTGAACATCAATATTTGGCGTCAATTACATGCTGTCGTATAGGAAAGAGCCATGCGTTCAGCGCTTGATGAATTTGAAGCTGAGGTGTCGAGTCGGCCTGAGAGTGACCAGTCACAACTCAATATCCCTTGGGATACTGTAGGTCTTTCTATTTTGGTATAAAATACGCGGAAAAGCAGCTGATTCTTCAGATCCGAAGAAAAAGCGCCCTGGCTGAACTACTCACAAAGGTGTTTCTGGACGTTGGACGAACTGGAGTAGTACAAGTGAGCAGTACTGCTTTCTATAGTTTTACTGGTCGTGTTCTTTCCATATCTTTGTATCGATCATTTTCGATATGAGCAGTACCCGGAAGAAATTTCCAGAAATTTCGCAATGAAGATCGTTTTTTCAATCCTATATTTTCAAAGGTATTTGTGGACAACTTCATTGAAGTAGGCTTCTGCGTCCAATCTCGTGCCTTTGCGCATGCTCATTTGACTCCAAAGAATCGTGCTGAAATAGATAGAATAGTTAAGCGGATACGGTAGGTTCTACGGTACTAATTGTTGTTTCCTTTGTTTGGATAATATTACTTTCTCCCTAATCACAGGCCATACCATGGCATACTACTGCTAGAAGATGTATGGCCAAGTCCGGATGCGAACCCGTCGGTAACCTTGCTTCTGAAGCATTGTGAACCAGATCGATCAATTTTAGATATGTCGACTGCTTCGGGAATACCTCTTTTGCAGGTTAGCTTATTTTTAATTCAATAATGATGTTAAAGAAGGAGAATGGAAACCTTTTTAGGTATTTCTTATTGTGCGTCACTTACTTTTATGGGCTCGTGCTATTGTTATCTATCCGCTATGCAATACAAATGTCTACGCTTCTGCCACCTACCCGAAGCCGTTGAGAAGGTAAGAGTCCGAAATTGTAGGGGCGCGTATTTGAAAATATGGGAAAATTGTGCTAAATTATGTCTCGGAAGAATATCTAGCTTTCTTAGAAAGTTCGTCGTGGAACCATAGAGGTGGGATTTGAAAGTAATGATAGATCATATTTGTTTTGATGAAGTGAAAGCTGTGGAAGGCTTATTTTGCCTTCACAAATGGGTAAGATACAATATCTTCCTTTCTGAAATTGTACCTTGTCAAGTTGTTATCAGCTTACATCAGCTTTTATAACTCCTTATTCTTTCTGTCACGCATCATCGATGTCCTATACTTCCCTCACATTTTCTCCAAATTAGGGTTCACTAGGTTCATACGAGGGAAGTTGCGAATTTATGGGCTCCAACACTTCCACACGAAGCCAGTAATCGGTGGGTAGCACGTTTAAGGGACGTGCTCGACGCCACAAAACTTCTAATATTGCTGCTAGTATTAGACAGTTTTCTGGTGAGTCTCCGGAATACCGTATACGTTTCCGTTGTTATTTTGACGATTCTATGGCTTTTCATTCATTTTTTCAAGAACTTTCTCAAACCATCTGTTCCCCTCCACGTCCTTCACTTATTATTGCCAAAACGAAGAAGTGACGAAAGGTTCAAATAAAACCCAACCGTAACTTTAATGTGAGGAAGTTCATTCCTCGTGATGCGATATTACTAGCACCACTGTGCCGGTGTCAAATCGACTCTTTCGAGTCTTTTACAAAAATTGGCAGGGAGGCCCTCCATGTCGTAGCGAACTTGATGTGGCTGAAAAGCCCAAGTTCAGTATGACCGAGGAGGGTTTGAAACTGTTCTGGAGTGCGGCCCGTACCGGGCATTGGAGAAGTAGACTCCACCACGCACACCCTCACCCTTTCCCTGGAATATGCGGCTGTAGCCAATGAGCACTGCTGCCCAGTCGCCGTTATAGTCTGTGCATCGTATAGGCAAGCGTCAGTGATTAGTGCGGTCTCTGCGAGGGAGAAACAGAGAAAGGCACGTTCTTTGTGGAGCTTGGGAAGATTCCAATCTTGTCAATCGAGTGGCAGCAGAAGAACAATGGTGTTACGTCTGGCGCTGCGGAGGAACAACATGGGAAAGAGGACCACTATTCGCATACGAAGGAGTAGGAGTGGGGTGGAAAACTAAGACAGAAGTTTTTCTTTTTTTAAAACCTGTAGTAGAGGTAGAAATGAATCTCTCACTGTCGTTTGAAACGCCCCTCATTACAAAATAAAACCAACGAGAGTAGCGGTTAATTTCACTCCTGGGAGACCCTTAATAGCCTCTTTGCCATTTACAGGGAGATTGAACAGCTGTAAAATTCCCTTCACTCTTCATGACGTGGAAAGTGGAGGAAAGATTCCATCTTACTACTGTAATTTAATGAAATCTTAGTCTCCCCTCTTCTTCTATCTTCATGAAGGTCAGCGTGGATTACTTGTCATAAATATTGCTCAGGAGCCTCAGAGGGAACGGTCTTTTCTGTGTTACACCTCTTACTTGTTTATCTTATCACTGATTACACTTTTTATTTTTCCGTGGCATCCAGAAAAAAGGCAAAATCAATTGAAAATTGACTTGTAGTTCATTACTATTGCTGTAAATTAGCAGCGGATCCTTTCAGAAATGGAAGGCTAACTGGTCAAGTGGTGCTGTGTACCCATTACGACTCTTTCGAGTCTTTCCAAAATGGCAGGGAGAGTTTTGCTGGTTCCATGATTGAGAAGCCCGGTAAAGAGCAAAGCGGGCTCATCGTTCTCTGACTGTTGTTGGGCTGTGTAAGCTGTCTGGCCAGACGTTCCTTTGAAGCGGAAAGCGTCTCTATTACGGGTCAATCTAAGGCTGAACAACAGGAGAAACATGAGGGAAGCGACGCAAATGGGAGGGTGGGTCGAATGACTAATTCGAGCGGGACCTTCATTTGTTTTCTTTTTTAAAATCAGTCTCGCCAAAAAGTTCTACCTATCTGTGAACGTCAGGAAAATATATTTGTTCCAACATACTCAACACAATTTTTAATGGCTAAATGGTAGGCTACTTTACTTTTACATTTTTTGCTTCAAGTCTGCGTGGGTGTTAGAGAACTGTTAGGTGGCAGGTATGAGGAGCACGGTGGATAGGATAGGTATTTCCTACCTACCTGCAATGACTTTCTTTGAGCATATGGTATGTAATCAACTGCGACTTATATAGCTTGAATAATTTCTAATATTACTAGTTTTTTTTACGATTTTGTTTAAATCATTTATCTCATCCCTCTTCCTCTGATGGCCTAGGGAGCGAAGGGTGCTTGAGTGTAATTATTATTCCGGCCATCCTGCAAAGAAGGTGGTGGTCGTTTCCTATGTCTCGAATGAGCTTTTTTCACCATATCCCCACGTTTTTCGTTGTTTTGACTCTTTCGAGTCGTTTGCAAAAATTGGCAGGGAGGCCTTACATCAGACATCTGATGGGCTCGTAACCGAAAAATGGTTATGACCTTGTTGAAAATGTAGTAGTGTGTCAGAAAACTGCCCATTAGGACGATGTGTTAGACTCCAACCACGCCCTGCCGTTCCCTGGAACGCGGCTGTAGCCATCGAAAGCCGCTGACTAGTCGTTCGTTATAGTTCGTGCATCGTATAGGCGGCGGTAGCGGATGGCGGAGGAAGAGCCTCTGAAAGAGAGGGGCAAATCACGTTCACAACGCGAAGCTTCATGAGATTTCAGTCCTGTTGATGAAGAGGAAGGTTCAGGAGGCAAAGCGTGGTAGTTTAAAGAGAACACGGAAGGAGTGTTGCTGTCAGTAGATGAGAGAGTAAGCATGTAAATAGGGTTTACAAAAGAGTTCCAGATGGGTAGGCGGTGGCTCATTTGGTGGCCGATTAACCTTATCAGATTGGCCAAAATGTTGTGCCCATAAGTAGAAAAGGGAAAATGGGACAGTTTTCATACCTTTGATAATACTTAGTTCTAACAAAAGCGATAAGGTGTGGCTAGGGCAACCCTTATTTCTGCTAAGTTCTTCTTTTCCAGTGACAATAAGAGAGAAAGATGTACACATGTAAACAATAATCGGTAAAAGGTCTAATTGAGATGTACGGTGGATGCTACGGTAGTTTAATTCTGAGCCCGCAATGGCTTTTTGACAAGCTACAGAAGCAGTGGGGGACCTGTCATGATTGAAGTGCATCACTGGGGACTTTCCTGGTACTTTTCTCGCCAGTTCACTCAGGCCTCTGCAAGCGGATTTTTGGAACTTTGAGCAAACGTTCGACTGAATTCTTGGACTTCCTTTTAAATGATTTGTTCAGTGCTCTGTGCCCTCTGCAAAGATTGGCTGTCTTCATTTTCCATGTACGGTGTTCCTCCTCTTACTATTTGGTTGATTCGCCGTTTCGACTCTTTCGAGTCTTCCAAAAATTGGCAGGGAGGTTACGAACTTGAGTGGGACTTAAAAGTCCAGCTTGAAGTAACCGAGGAAAACTTGTATAACCTTGGCTGGATTTTTGCCCAGGGACGTTTACAAGTTGAACCTCACCCACGTCCTTCCCGTTCCCTGAAACGTGGCTGAAGCCAACGAGGGGCGCTGACTAGTCATACGTTATGAACCGTGCGTCGTATAGGCGACGGCAGTGAATGGGAGAGGGAGAGCCCCTGAAAGAGAGGAGCAAAACACACAACAACTCACAGGGTCCGGGAACTTCTCCCTTAACACGGCGTCGCACACGCCGCACCCGCCGCCTATCGCAGGATTGCGATGAAAGATTGGAGCGCGCAATTTGTGAGGTAGGGAGTCCTTTAATTATTTGAATTGGCTGGTCGCTCCCTTCAATTTCAATGCGGTATTGATCGTCGTTTATATAAGAGGAGTCATTTTAATTAATCAAGTCTAATAAACATGAAAACTAAAATGAAACAGAAGAAAAAACGATAAAATCCAATGAAAAAGCAAGCCAGTCAAGGAAAATATCGCGTCCTATCGATTTTCGGGAGGCGGGGTGAGTACGGTAATTGCAGTGACATTCGCCGCATGCCGCAAGGGAGAATGCCGCGATAGGGGAGAAGTTCCGTTACCCCAACTCACATCACAGACTCTATGAGATTTAAATCCTGCTGTTCAAATGCAAGATCCCGATTCAGGGAGCGATAGACTAGGAAAAACACAGGAGCGCTGTTGCTATCAACAGGCGAGACCGTAAGGATGTAGATAGGGTAGTTCAAAGAAAGCCTAGCTGGGAAGGAGGTTGCTCATTTCAGCAGCTGATTCTGCGCCTTACCAGGTTAACCAATAAGTTCTGCCGTTTTTAGGACGAAAGAAAATGGAGCAATCCTCTAGGGAAAGAGTGTTTTTGAAATGATATTGTTGCGATTTTGGGGTATGTAGTAAGCAAGTAGCATATTTCTGTCGGTCCTTGTAATCGTTGCTAAGATAACAGGTATTCCAGGATACCGCTCTCACATCATTTTCAGAGTAGACAAAGTGCTGCTCAGGCAATCCCTACTGCACCTAAGTTTCTCTTACAGGGACAACAAGGTCGAAGATCTACGTGTGTAGGCAATAATTGGTAACAGGTCTAGTTGAAGAGAATGGTGGGTGACAGAAGAGTTTGTTTGTTGCCCCCAATCATTCTTCGATAATCTGTAAGAGTTTCAAGTGGGCTTCCATGCTCGAAATGCCCCACCATGCATATTGCATAATATTTTTGTCGCTTGCCCTGACGGTTTTTGTGCAGTTCATTCGTATCCTTTCCTTTCCACAAATAACTTTGCGAACGGTGCTTCAAAGATACACCCGCGGTGAGCTTTTAGAACAAAATGCCAATTAAATAATTGAATTTTTTACACTTCCAAGTGGTTTGATTAATGCTCTGTCGGCTCTGCGAACGTTGGCTGTTCTGTTTCTCATGTTCAATGACACCTCTCTAATCTGTTCTGGTTGGCTGTAGCTTGTCGTGTCGACTCTTTCGAGTCTTTTACAAAAATTGGCAGGGAGGCCTCCATGTCGTAGGAACTTGCTGTGGCTGAAAAGCCCAAGTTCAGTATGACCGAGGAGGGTTTGAAACTGTTCTGGAGTGAGGCCCGAACCGGGCAATGGAGAAGTCGACTCCACCCACGCCCACCCTTTCCCTGGGATACGCGGCTGTAGCCAACGAGTATCTCTGCCCGGTCTGCCCTAATAGTCTGTGCATCGTAGAGGCAAACGGCAGTGATTAGTGCGGTCCCTGCGAGGGAGGAACAGAGAGAGGCGCGTCCTTTGTGGTGCTTCGAAAGTTTCTAATCTTGCCAATGGAGCGGCAGCAGAGGGACAACGGAGCTATGGAGGAACAAATTGGAAACGAGCGCTATTATATGCGTAAGAAGGAGTAGGCGCACAATTAGGGTGCAAAATAGGACAAAAGTTACTCATTCTTTTAAGCCTGTACTAGAGGTAGAGGTAAACCTCTCACTGTCGTTTCAGACGCTCTCTCATTTCAGAATAAAATCAGTGGCGGTCATTTTCACTACTGGGAAACCCTTAATAGTCTGTTTGCCATTTACAGGGGAGATTGAACAGCCGCAGATTTCTCTCCACTTTTCACGACGTGAAAATGGAAAGAGTTCATTTTACCACTGCAAATCAGTGATATCCTAGTCTTCCCTTTTGTGGTACCTTCTTGAAGCCAGCTTGTTTCCTCAGTCCACATCACCTATTTGTTTATCTTGTGACTGATACACTTGTTTACTTTTCCATGGCTTCCAAGAAAAAGGCGGAAACTGTTGGAAATCGAGTCATGGCCCATTACTATGTATTACTGTAAACTAGCAGC